CAGCAGGAAGACATTTGTAGAATCTGTTATATTCTTCTCTTGATATTTGCCTTTTAGCAGGTCATCACATTGCAGATTAATCACTCCCAGCTGGAGATTAGGTGGAAACTCCTGGGTCGCACAGTTAAATGGATTTTGAAATAATGGAAATTTCCTTTGCATTTGCATCAGAGTCTGAAAAATTATGCTGGAACTGCAGTTTGAGCTTGGAAAATATACCTGCTGCAAATCTGTGTGGGAACAGAGATCTGGATTCTTGTTTTAACATTTGACAGCATGGGAAGCATATAAGCAACTTGGCTTTACTTGTGACTCAAACATTGTTAACTGTCATCGAATTGATTTCACTGTATCATAAATTTTGCATGTAAGTGCTGTTTCAGTTTGTAATTTTAAGTTGAAATCATTAAGAAACATTATCAAGTCTATAGCAAGTATTATTTCTCAAAAGTGGCAGAGGTCAGAAGGTTGTCATCTCGTATAGAGGACAAATTGGGTGAAGTAATGGCAATGGCAAAGCATAAGACTCTCAGAAAGAGTACGACCTCCAGGTCCACGACTTAAGGCCCCACGCACTTCCCTCGTACCCCTAGGGGACTCGCAGTGCACGCTGGGACTTGTAGTTCCGGCATGCGAGGTCTTGCGCACGCAGCCCCCACCGCGGGCGACTTCCTCTCTACGCCGCGCGCCGCCGTTCCCGGAAGTTGTGCGGGTTAAAGTTTCAAAGCTTCCTTTCCCCGCCTCTTAGTCCCGCAGATTGCCAATCCAAGTAGCCAATAGATGGCCGGACTGGTGCTTCCTTTTACTTGATTGGCTTAGGTTTTTGCAGCCGCACAGACAAACTTGCCGGGGATTGGTCGAGCCTTCAGTTTTGAAAATCGTAGGTTTGGCCCGCGCTGCACCGCCCCGTTGCTTCCTTGCAGCCGCGAGCTTTGGAGGCCGGGAGCGGTGAGACTTGGGCGGGCTGAGGTTTGTGCTGGGAAGGTCGTCGGACTTGGATCGGAGCAGCACTTAGGAGACGCGGTGCAGTCGAGTGAGTGCGCGCGGGCGGCCGGCGGGGGTGGGGGGTAGTTAGCGATTTGTTACCCCTTCCTCCAGCCCCGGACCGGGGGCGTGACCCTCTACCCTCCGTTGCGGCCTGGCAGTGGATGGGTCACCTCTTCCAAGTGACGAGGTGACCTGCCTTGGTCCTGTGGCCAGAGATGACCCCCACCCTCCATCCTAGAGAATAACCCCGTCCCTTCCCCCTCCCGGTGCCTGGCACCTTCTTTTGTGCCTAGGAGGCCCTTTGTTGATCTGGACGCGCAGGAAGCGCACACCGACCGGGTTGTGTGACGGAATTATGCCAGATGGCATTTCTGTACAGTTAACTGTCGCTCAACACCTCCCCCATCGGCCGAGCAACATTTTAAAGTGACCATTTCTGGAGTCCACTGCTACCCCTGATCTTGTCATTCCCCAAGCACGTTCACTGACAGTGGCCTTCTCTGGGGCGCCCAGAGCCAGAACTTAGCGCCTGCCTTCCCGAGGTTGAAATGGAGTAGGCGGCAAAGCTTGTGGTTAAGAGCACAATTTACATCGAGGCCTTGCTCTTGACTTAACTTCTCTTTGCCTCAATTTGCTCACCTGCACAAGGGTCTCCTTGAGGTTGTGGCGAGAATTAAATGAGATGATGCTCCATCCAAGCACGGAGTAGGAGTCTTTAAAGAAAGCAACTGTTGTGACCCTTCTTTGCTGAGGCGAGGTCACAGTTAGGCGGCCGTCTTCCTGCACCCTCAAAAGAACAGGCATTGTGAAGGAGGGCCGTGGGGCTCTAGGCTGGTGTATGATGTGAGAGAAGTATTGGGAGAGGAAAATGAACAAGCACCCTTCGCCCTTGGTGGGATGTAGGGTGCTCTGGGTTTGTGCCCAGATTCTTGCAGGGGCTGAAGAGATTTTTGCTGCTTTTCCCAGGATGCTCATTCTTACACTGATCCCTCCTTTCACAGGGTCACCTCTGATCTAATGACAGTGACCCTTTTTAAATACCCAGGCTGAGGCTGCTGAAAACAGACTTCCTTATGGAAGAAGCCCAAACACCTTTTTGCACTTTGTGAAAGAAGCTTTCGCCCATTTTGCCATTCTGAACGAATACTTTAAAAAAAAAAAAAGAGCAAGTTGTTGCTTTCCATAGCAACAAAGTGTTTTGTCTTCCTTTAACATTTTTCTCTTTCCTAGCCTCATACTGGGTTCCTGCCCTTAGCCAGGGCTGAGCTCTGGGACAGAGGGACTGGGGGGATCCAGAAGGATGGCAGCCGAGAGGCTGTGTCGGTGACCGGCTGGCTGCAGAGCTGTCTCTGCCCAAAGCCTCTGCAATCCTGCCCAATTGGCCCTGCCCCGATGAATGCTGCCTTTGGCATCTAGGAGTAGGCCTTTGGATGAGTAAGGCATGCCCTAACCTGTGTAGAATGACCTCATTTGGTGTCCCTGCACATGTGTATGTGCTGGGGTGGGAGTTCCTGTAGAATGTTTATTTCTAGGTATAGAGTTGATAGATGGATGAATTCATTTAACAGGTATCCCTTTTGTGCCAGGCACTGTGCCATACTCTGGGCTTTCAAAGCTGCGAGCAAGACAGGCAAAGGGAACAAATGCTTAGTGGTCAGAGACAGGCAGCAAGCAAACAGATACAGTCACCCAAGTGCCATGCGGAGAATTGAAATTGATGGATAGGATGGTAGCTGGTGGTCAGGTCCTCCCTGAGTTGCTGAGAGCCAAGTGCTGAGGAATGAGCTGCACAAAATAGGAGACAGAAGGTTCCAGACAGAGGGCAGAGCTTGCTCAAGGAACAAAGGCTCGTGTGCCCTGGGAATCAGCCCCCAGGAAGTCCTGTGAGGCTGCAACAGGACCTGGCATTAAGCTCTGTAAGGGGTCAGTGACTTAGCCCCTCCTTCCAGGAGTTCCCATCTTAGGTGGGAGGCTGAGCTATGCGTGGTTCTTGGTTTTGAAGCTGTAGGTCAGGGTGGTGGGTTACTGCCGCGGCATGAGACATGCAGTCTGTTATTGTGGCTAACGACTGTCACGCATTCATTTGTTCTCTCATTCGTTCTACCAGTCGGGACATTCTTTGAGCCCCTGCTATGGCCGGAATAGAACGCTTCTTCCTTGCCTGGGGCTTTGGTGATGATTTTATAACTGAGTTTTGAGGAGAATATCTGAGTTGCCAGTTGTTCTTTTGCTTTTGTTTGTTTATTTGTTTGCTTTTTTGAGTCCCTAGCTTTTTAAGAAATTAAGTGAAGACATAGAACAAATATAGTTACCAAGGGGGAAGAGGGAGAAGGGATAAATTAGGAGTTTGGGATTAAGATATACACACTGCTACATATAAAATAGATAACCTACTGTATAGCACAGGGAATTGTGCTCGATATCTTGTAATAACCTATAATAAAAAAGAATCTTAAAAACAATAAATATATATATATATGTGTGTGTGTATAACTGAATCACTGTGCTGTATACCTGAAACTAACACAACGTGGTAAATCAGCCATACTTCAATAAAAATTTTTTAAAGGAAATTAAAACTAATTTTGTATTTCCCACTGCCTGATATTTCTAGACAAGTTTTCTTAAAAACAAGACATTGCTTATCCGCTCCCCTCGTGCTCCCTCATGCGTTTCAAGGGCATTTCAGCTCAAGGAAGAGGGTTGTAGGGGCCCCTTAGAGAAGAGCCTGTCTGTAGATCCCCGCTTTCTTACCCACTCCTTTGGGACGCAGAGCCCCTTCCATCCACCGGCCTCCCAAAGAGGCAGTTGGATTTGATGTTCTTTGGCCTGTTGCCTGGGGTCAGCTCGTGGGTCACTCACCCTCCGACAGTAGGAGAGGAGCCCTTAGGAGGGTGAGAGCAGGCCTTTGGGCAGGTCAAGGGGTCCTACCTGGTGGGACCACAGTTTCTCCTGATCCAGGAAGGCAGTTGGCCGTGCCCTGTCATTTTAAGCCCCAGAGAAGGCCGTTTGTAAGGAGGTCCATTGACACCACAATTGGCTGGTCATTGTGGGCTTCTGGGGACAACGTGCTGTGTGAGGTGGAGATGGGGCGGCGTTGAAGAGTGTGACGATTCCAGCCCAGGGCCCTCATGCCTCTTATCTCTGCTTTCTCCAGACAGAGCCATCATGGGGACGACAGCCGCAGGGCCCATTCACCTGCTGGAGCTCTGTGACCAGAAGCTCATGGAGTTTGTCTGCAACGTGGACAATAAGGACATGGTGTGGCTGGAGGAGATTGAGGACGAGGCCGAGCGCATGTTCACCAGGTGCGGGAGGGACGCACCCGGGGCTGCCTGAGGCCCCAGCGGGGGCCACTTCCCCACCTGACAGGCAGGACAGACAGGCTGCCAGCGGTCCCTGCTGAGTGCGCAGGATGCTCAGGCCTAGGGTGATGGGAAGCCGGTGGGGGGGGAGAGGTGTGGGGCTGCCTGGCAACCTTGCTCCCCTGCCATGTCTCGGGGGTGGGGGGCGGAGCCCTGAGTGCCTGCGGTGACTCACTTGCAGCCTTAGAGAGCTCGCTTGGTGCTGGTCACCCCAGCTTGACCAGGCACTGCCAGGAAGGGGACAGGGGTCGGGCTGGGTGGGGAAGGGGGACCCATGGTTTCCAAGCAGCCTCGAACATCACCCTCTTTGTACCAAACAGAGAATTCAGCAAGGAGCCCGAGCTGATGCCCAAAACACCTTCTCAGAAGAACCGACGGAAAAAGAGACGGATTTCTTATGTTCAGGATGAAAACAGAGACCCCATCCGGAGAAGGTAGGAGGGGCCAGAGGCTTGGGGCCCACGTGGAGAGCTTGTTTCGCAGGTGTTAACTGACATGAGGAGCCGCCGAGGGGAAACGAAGCGTGACCTGAGGCCGTGGAGTCCAGAGCTTGTGTGTGTTGGAGGTGGGGATGGTGTTTGATCTGGGCCTCTCCTTCCAGAGGTAGGAGAAGCAAGAGAACCTGACCTTCTGCTTGTGGGAGAGTGACCAGAGGTGTAGACCGGGCGCTGTTCCTAACCCCCTGTCGCTGTGCTGGTTATAACTGCCCTGGTAACAACCATGGGCTGCAAAGTACCAGGGGAAAGAGGCTGGGTCTTGAGGGTCAGGTGGTCTTGGGTGTACACCCCAGCTCTGCCCCTTAGCAACTGTATGTCCTTGGGTTAATTTTCCACGTCTCTAAGCCTCAAGTTTCTGGAATCTAAAGTGAGGATAATGGTCCCTGCCTCTCAGGGCTGTCTGGTGGTTTAGGTGACAGCATGAGTAATGCCTCCAGCAGGGTGTTTGGCCCAGTGTGACCCCGGTCAGTGGGAGGTTTAGGGGAATTTAATCTTCCCAGTGGTTCTGAGAGGACAGGCATTATTCCAATTTACAAATAGGGAGACTGAGGCCCAGAGAGGGGCAGCCAGGGTGTCATGGCTGGAGGCAGCAGAGCCTGGACCAGAGCCCCAGTCTTCTGCCTCCTAGCCCTCCGCTTCAGACTCCACTCGGGCTGGCGGCTCCTGGGGAGGCCGGTGCCTGCAGCTGGAATTTTGGGGAGCCTCCCCGCCCTGCTGGGTCATCTCAGCTTCTGCTCCACCTCCTCCAGCAGGTTGTCCCGCAGAAAGACGCGGAGCAGCCATCAGAGCTCCCGGCACCTCCGCAGCAAGGACAAGGTGGAGAGGCTGGCCACAGTGGTGGGGGAGAACGGCTCCGTCCTGCGGCGGGTGACCCGTGCTGCGGCCGCAGCTGCAGCGACCTCCGCAGCGGCCACGCCTTCGCCCACCCCTGAGTCTCCCACGGTGCTGACCGAGAAGCCCAAGGAGAGCCTGGCCCAGTGCCAGCTGGTACCCATGGTGGAGATTGGCATCAGCGAGCGCCGGAGCGCTGAACAGCACCTCAGCCAGCTCCAGTCTGCCCAGGCTCCACCCCCCACCCTGGCTCCGGCCGCTGCTCTGGCCTCCCAGATCACCTTGACCTCGGAGGAGGACTCTACACCCCAGAAGCCAGAGGCCGGGAGACTGGAGTCTGTCACCGTGAGCTCCCTGATGACTACACCCCAGGACCCCAAGGGCCGAGGGGTTGGAGCAGGAAGGTCCGCCTCCAAGCTCAGAATTGCTGCGACCTCCCCAGGCCTGCAGGACTCGCCCAGCTCTCCGGCCTCCCCGTGGCGGGAGCGGGTGCTGGCTCCCATCCTGCCGGATAACTTCTCCACGCCCACGGGCTCCCGTGTGGACCGCAGGTCGGTGCGGCGCAGCCTGATCGCCCCGTCCTTCCCGGGTCCCCAGGTCTCGCTGGCCCAGAATTACTCCCTGGTTTCCAAAGAGGAGAGCACCGTCCGAAGATCAAGCAGAAGGATTGCCAGGAAGGCCACCAAAGAGCCGGCCGCCTCCGCCCGCATCATCTGTGAGTCTGGGGCTCAGCTCTGGGCAAGGCTGCGGAGGGTGGTCCTTCATGCCTGGCTCAGCCAAAGGGGCTCTGGGGACCATTTAGCAAGGAGCTGTCCACAGAACTTTCTGCAGTGGTGCAAGTGTTCCAGATCTGTGCCGTCCCATCCTGTAGCCACTAGCTAGCCACGAATGGCTGTTGAGCCTCAGAACGTGGCTCGTTTGACCGAGGAGCTGAATCTCTAGTTTTATTACATTTTACATAGTTCAGATTTAAGTTGCCACACGTACCCAGTGGCTACCACGTTGGACAGGGCAGATCTGGTCCAACGCTCTTGTTTTACAAATGAGGAAACTGAGGTCCGGGGCCGTTGGCCACAGTGTCCCTGTGGTTAATGCCATGCTGAGCTTGAACCTGGGCCTCTTCCCCAGGGCCCGCGTGTTCCCCTTCCTTCCTGCGGAGGCTCACTTAGATTCACCATGTTTGTGGGCCACCTCCTGTTAACGTAACTGTTTGGTCTGAGCCCAGCAGTACATTTAAACTGAGGCTTAAGGAGGCTACCAAGTCTGTAAATTGGGAAGAGCCCCACATGTTTCGTCCCTTCTGGGATGGTGGCCGCTTGCTGAGGAGGCCAGGTGGAAAGCCACAGGGTGGGCTTGTCAGGCAGGTGAGGGCACCTCCCTGGGCCCAGTTTCTTCCCTGCCTGGGGAAGGGTTTGCTCCAGGGCCTGGGGCTCAGGGACACACAATCGGGGGCCTGTGCAGACATGTGATCTGGCACACTGTCCATTTTTGGATTCTCAGAAGGGCCCAAGTGATTCTGACCTGCCTTGGAGATTTCTTCAGGTGTGAATCTGATCCTGGGCAGGGGCCCAAGGGGGCAGGCAAGCCTGGAACTCTAGAGGGAGGTTTGGGGAGAGACCCTAGAGGCCCTCCCCATGCTTCTGGATCAGACATCCAGAAGCTCTTAAGCCAGTCTGTTTGCTCGGCCCCCTGCCCTGCACATGGGTGGGCTTCTGATTTGATTTGCCTTTGACCCAGTCCTGTGGAAGGAAGACAGTCAAACACAGTGGTTAAGCCTTGGAGTCACACAGAGCCTGGGGGGCCTGGGGCACACCCTTCTCCGAACCTCAGTTTCCCCATGTAAGAACACCTGCCTTGAATGTGGGTAGAGGACCCATCTTAGTGCTTGGATATGGTACAGCTCAGTCCATCTAAATCAAAACAAAACTGGATGGTAAAACTGCAGACAGCCTGGGTCCCTGAAGCTCAGTGGAGGTGTGGCCTGGGTGACCCTCCGGGGCGCTCAAGGGTGTGGAGCAGGGAGGGGAGAGGGGGCTTCCTAGAGGCCTTCCTGATGCCCAGGCCCTGGGGCTTGGCTGGGCGGGCAACTCAGAGGTTGGATTTTAGTTTGGGTTACCCCAGAAGCAGCCCTTGCTATCAGGATTTGAATGTAACTTGTTACTGTGGGAGGGGAAGGACGCACCTGGAGCAGGGGAGCGGGGAGGCGAGCCGGGGAGAGAGGACCGCCAGTAACTCCCATAACAGGCCTGGGGCCTCGGGGGAGCCTCTGGAGCCAGCGTGGTGCCCCTCGACCCCCTTCCAGGCCTTCTCCCTGCCCCCAGACCTGTTCTGAAGCCTGAATGGCATGCAGGTGGCACTTAACATTCCAGAGCAGTCTTTGCGCTGGTGGAATAGTTGTGCGGTCACATGGGTGTCTTCTTACCCTTCTGCCCCCTCATCAGCGAGCCCTGAGCTGGGATGGGAGGCAGTGGATGTGAGCTGTCTCCTGGCCACAGACCCCTCAGGTGGGAGCTGGCCCTGTTCTGCTCCCTCCCACACCTCCAGGCCTACCTGCCTCACCCCAGGAAGGTCCCTGCTTCCGGCCTCGGCTCCCTCAGCCTTAACCTCTGGCCACGCACCTGTGGCCCAGATGCTCCAGCCAAGCCAGGCTTCTTCTGTGCCCAGCAAAGCCTGCTCTTTCCTGCCTCATGGCCTTTGCAGATGCTGTTCCATCTGCCTAGACTGGCACTGCTCAACTTTTGGCCTCAGCCTCTGCTTCCAGACTTCAAAATTATTGAGGACCCCAAAGAGCTTTTGATTATGAGGGTGCTATCTATTGACAGTTACTGTATTAGAAATTAACTTGAAGGATTAAAAAATTCTTAATATTCATTAATATTTTATTTTTTATATTAATATTACTTACTGTTTTGATATTAAAAGTATTTTATACTTTAATATAAAAGTAACAAGCCAATACCTGTTAAGGTTAGTTGGATTTATCTTTGTTTTTTTTTTTTAAGAAAAAATAACTGTTTTCCAAACAAAAATGTGATGAGGAGACTGGTGTTATTCTGCAGTTTGCATATCCCATTCATGTGTGGCTTAAAAGAAGACAGCTGGGTTCTGCATTTACTCTGTTGCATTGTGTTGTTTGGGTTCAGGTATATGAAGAAAATCTGGCCTTACACAGATACGTAGTTGGAAAAGGGAAGAGTACTTTAAAAGCCTTTTCAGATAATGGTGCATATTCTTTTTTTTTTTTCCAGATAATTTGTGCATACTCACAAATATGTGGCGTCATGTACATCATCCAGATGTCGACACACTTCATTATGTATTTTTTTAAAGGAGCACATTTGCTTTCTGGTCTCATCAGAAACATCTTTAGGTATTGGGAAGCTATGAAGTTCATGGTGGTGGATACAAGTTCCAAAATTCTATTTTTGGCTTTTTTGTGGGCTCAGTTTTGTATTCTTGGCAACAAATACTGTTCGTTTTATTTGAAGGGACAGACTCCCTTTGTTATTTTTTATTCTTATTTTTTTGTGGTACGCGGGCCTCTCACTGTTGTGGCCTCTCCCGTTGTGGAGCACAGGCTCCGGATGCTGCAGGCTCAGCGGCCATGGCTCATGGGCCCGGCCGCTCCTCAGCATGTGGGATCTTCCCGGACCGGGGCACGAACCCGTGTCCCCTGCATCGGCAGGCGGACTCTCAACCACTGCACCACCAGGGAAGCCCCCTTTGTTCATTTTTAAGAAAATGTTTCCCAAATACCCAAGCTTGATTAGCCGTAGTTTTTCAGTTGTTCTTTGACTTAAAAACAGCATTCCATTAAAAAAGGGGCCAGTTCAGCTAAGACCTCAGACCCCCGTGCTTTTCAGAGACTTGGCTATGCAGCCCAAGGGCGTTTTTGCATACTACCTTACTTTATCACATAGTGTATTAGAAAGATATGTACTTAAGTTTAGATTTAATAAAATTAATAGTTTTCATTCCTTCACCAAGGACATTCTTAAGTGAAACCAGACGTTTCCGTCCCGAGTGTGGGGTGCAGTTTGGTACCCAGGCTTCGTACTTTACCTCCATTGCTTTCACTCTCTCAGGGCAAATCTCAACACATGAAAAGGGAAGATAACATTTTGGTGTTATGGTGGAAATAGTTAGGACCTCGTGGGTCCCCCAAAAGGGTCCCCTTGGGCACTCGACTTCCAGAACCCCAGAGTACACTTTGAGAACCCGCTGTCCAGGACATCCTCCTCCCTCCCCTTCCTCCTTTGCGACCTTCTTACCTTCTTATCCTTTGCGTCCCAGCCTCCAGACCAGCTCGGCTTCCCATCATAGGCTTTTCAAGTCCTCTGCTCGTTTCTGTCACGGCACATGTCACATGTCGGTTACAGGATTATCTGATGATTATCTAGACCAGGTCGTGGCCCAGTCTGGTTTGCTCTCCATTGGGTGCCCAGGGCCTGTGCATGGTATAGACCCTCGACGTATGTCTGATGAATGAATCAGCTGCTTTGTGTTGGCCTGTGCCGGGAGTTCGGAGGCTCAGAGCTGGACATCGTCCCTCTTCCCGGGATACTCCCAACCCAGTGAAGGAGACAAGACGTGCCCTCAGATGGGCATGTTACCCTCTAGGGGGTAGCAGGAGACATCAAGCCAGCCGCTCTCTTGAGGGTGTTAGGAGTCGAGGGAGTGCTGACGGCAGGGATCTGCACCCAGGGAAGGGGGAGAGGTCTCCGGGGTCGGGAGGGTCTACGTCTAGTGAAAGGAGGGGTCTGCAGGTGGAGAGGGTCTGGCTGCAGATGAGAAGTGGTGGAGCCCCCATCAGAGCCTGGTTCCCTGGACCTCTTGGAGGGGCACCTGGCTGATTCTGAGGGCATCTCTTGTTCCTTTGTTTTCCTGTCAGGCCACAGTTACCTGGAGAGGCTCCTGAATGTCGAGGTGCCTCAGAAAGTGAGGTGAGTTCAGTTCCAGGGCTTGGGGACCTTCCCAGGGCTGGGCAGGGCACACGGGGGTGCCTTTCTAGGTGAGCCCCACAGGTGGAGGCGTTTCCTGTGCTCAAGCCTTCCCTCATCACAGGGACTGCCCCTGGGCTGCCCACCGCTGCCCCCTGCCCCTGCCCCAGTCTTACTAGGCAGTGCCACCCGGGTGTCAGGTCTTCCCGAATTGCTTGTCAACATCGCTTGTCAGTCCTGGCCTGGCCTTGACCCCTCCAAGCCTTACCCTGGGGCCTGGGCTCCATTGATTTGTCAAATCCAGAGGCCTGTGGATGAGCCAGTGCAGCCGTGAGGAGCCAGTTCAGACTGGGGTGGGTGGCATGGGGGTTGGTGGGGTGCTTCCTGCTCCAGGCTTACACCCCAGCACTGCTTTGAGCCAGCGCTCCTTTTCCTGGAGGCCATGTCCCGCCATCACTAAAACTATTCCACCACCACCACGACTCCCTGCTCTGGAGCAGAGGGGCAGCTCTTGGGACGGGGAGACCGGTGACTTTGCCGGCCCCACGGTGAATGGAGAACGGGCCTCAAAAGAGACGTGGATTCAGGCCAAAAGGGTCAAGACGGAGCTGGGAAAGGGCCGACCTCCCGAATCAAGGCCCTGATGGAATATAAGTGAAGCCAAATTCAGAAGCTGGCACCCCTTGTCTGCCCAGGCCGCAGACTTAAACCATGGAGCCACTGGCTCTGGCTGCCCATCCTCCCGTCCCTCCTAGGTCGCTACCCCAGGGCATAGGGGAGGGGCTCCTGCAGGGAGGCTTGGGCTGGGCGGGTCCCACAGTGCCCCCTGCTCTGCTTCCAGCCCCACGCCGGAGGAGCACAGCCAGGAAGCTGAGCCAGAGGAGGCAGCTGAGCCGGAGGTGAGACGGGCAGGCCAGGGAGGGGCAGGCCTGCAAGTCCCATGTGCAGACCCCTAAAGCCATGGCTCTTCCCTTAGGTCCCCAAGCTTTGCGCAGTGGCAATATCGTAGCCAATGAGGTTTATCCGAGGCGCGATTATTGCTAATTGAAAACTTTTCCCTTAGGTCCCCAAGAACAGTGGCAGCGCCTTGCGGCTCCGCAGTGCCACCAAGATCGCCATTAGCACGCCTGGCTCGCAGCCTGCAGCCAGTGGCCAGGCAACGCCCTCTGAAGGGCGGCCGGGTGAGTCTCCTGACCTACAGACCCTCAGGGCCATGCAGGCCGTGGTAGCCTCGGCCTGACTTTCTCTTGGAGGAGAGGCAAGCCCGGTTTTCTGGGCTGATAGGCCGAGGGAAAATGAGACCCAGGGTGCAGCGATCTGCTTCGAGTCTGCACGTTTCGTCTCCCACCTTTTGGCTGGAGCCGCTGCCGAGTGCCACTGGGTGGCCATGGCTGGTTGGTGCAGGAAGCTGGGGGTAGGACCTGAATTGGGGTGTTAACTGTGAACGTGCCAGGTCACGGCCTGGAGCCTCACTCCTGGGGGGGCAGGAGGAACTGTGTCCTGGGGTGTGAGCACCTTGCCTCGTGTTCTGTCTCTGTCGCTGGCTCACTTCTCTCCTCTGTGGGTCTCCTGGCTAAATGGCGTGAGAGCTGTGGGCTTTGGGGCCTGGCCTGCATCTCCCTGGTGGGAGGAGCACCGTAGTCGTGAGATCTTGAACACGGCTCCCCCAGCTGCTGGACGGGGTTAGGACAATGGCCATGCCAGCCCCATAGGCCCCAGGGGGCTGCCGGGACCCTTTGGAGTAAAGAGTGTCGAAGAGCCGGGGGAGAGATCGCGCTTCCTCCTGGCGGCGAAATGAAACGTACAGACCCGCACCCCACATGCTGGCCCTGCTCAGGAGGCCCCCGCCCCCGTGCCAGCCCCAGCTGAAAGGGCCGGGAGGAGTGGGATCTTGAAGCCACTCAAGGGGCCTGTTAGAGCTTGCAGCTTCCATAGGTTTCTGCCCCCGGCTCTCAGTGTTAGAGGTGGGTGGGATGTGGTTAGGGCCACCTCGATGGGACTGTCCTGCTGTTCTCGCCCCAGAGGCCAGGCCTGGGGGCGAGGGATCTGCGGGCTGCGGGCACCGTGCCAGCTCTACGCGTCCGTCCACAGAGGGGTCATGGCCGGGCGGTGCTCAGCCTGATGCTTCTGCTCCTGGCTACCCTGGGGTCTGCCGGGAAGAGAGCCTCACCCCTGCCACGGCTGCTGCCGGTGGGCGCATTCCCCTGACCCCTCCGTGCTCTCCCGATCGCCCCCCTAAAACCGCTCTCTCCATAGAGGCCAAGACTGACCAAGCAGATGGCCCCAAGGAGCCGCCTCCGAGTGTCAGGTTTGCATGCGGGAAGGCATGTGCAGGCGACCATTTTGAGGGGCCCAGAGGGGCATGAACCTTGAGTCCTCCCTTGGGAAGGGTGGGCGTGTGGTCAGGGGCCTCCGTGTCTTCTCAGCAGGGGTGGGGACTGGTGCTCTCACTTAATAACAGAGGTGGCTTCAGGCTGTGGGAGGAGCCTGACCTGGGGGCGGGCCACGGGATCCCAGACCCCCATCCTCCTGTGTCCTCCTGGCCGTGTGACCTTGGACTGGTCACTCCCCTTCCTCTGACTGGGCGGCAGAGGGTCGGTCAGGGAGACCCCACCTCTGCAGTGCCTTTCAGTCTGGAGTCCCGGGGGCTGGGCCCAGTTCCATTCGCAAGGGGGACCTTTTCTGGGGTGTGGCGGGGCACGCTGGGGGGGATGCGAGGGCGGGCCGTGACGCTGCTGCGCCCGCACGCCGGCAGGAGGAAGCGCAGCTACAAGCAGGCCGTGAGTGAGCTGGATGAAGAGCAGCAGCTGGAGGATGAAGAGCTGCAGCCCCCCAGGAGCAAGACCCCTTCCCCGCCCTGTCCTGCCAGCAAGGTGAGTGTGCGTCTGCCCTCCCTCCGCCCCCTGCCCCGCCCACGGGCTCTGAACCTGGTCCCTCTGCAGGTGGTGCGGCCCCTCCGGACCTTCCTGCACACTGTGCAGAGGAACCAGACGCTCATGACCCCGACCTCGACCCCTCACAGCAGCAGCGTGAAATCCTTCATGAAGCGCAACACTCCCCTGCGCGTGGACCCCAAGGTGAGGACGGCCTGGCTGAAGGCTGCAGCGTGTCCCCAGGCTGCTGGGAGCAGTGGGGGCCTGGGCCAAGGCGGGTGTGACCTGGCACTGGTCAAGGACCAGCTTGAGCCTCTGCGGCCCTGGGCTGCCTCGACATCTGGGGACTGTCCTGATTCCTTGGGCTCTGCACTGCAGCCTAGAGGCCGGCTCAGGGTGACCTCCCGGGTCTGGGATCCGGGGCTGGGAAGTGGCAGAATTGGCCTGGCTGGCCATCGCCGTGGCCATCCATCCCCAGGCACCGCCCCCGTTCCCTCCAGGCGGCCTGAGTAGTTAAGGTGAGGGACTCACGTGGACGCTGACTAGGGGATGAGGGCTGGGTGACGTGAGAGGAGGTGGTGGCGCTGGCAAAGGGCGCAGGCCCCAAGCAGACTCACTGGCGTCTTCAGGAGGGCGGCTTGCTTTCCAGGATGCCCTCCACCTGGCATTAACTCTTGGCTTTTTCCTTGTCTCCTCCACAGTGCAGCTTTGTTGTAAGTAAAGCCTTTCCCTGTCCTGTAACCTAGCTCCACCCAGCACTTACCCGCCGTAGCCCTGTCCCTGCAAAACTGACACTTGTAGAGGCACTAACATCATCGATGGGAGCGCTAAGGGGGCCGGGAGGTGGGAGGTGAGCTGGAGTTGCTGGCTGGCTGGCCCGCCGGCCCTGCAGTTCTGGAGCCGATGTCCTCCCTCTGCAGAGCCTGCCCAGGAGGATGAGAGGGGGTGTGGTCCCCAGGCAGGAGGAAGCAGAGGGCGTGTGACCTGCGATGGGTCACCAGGGCCACGTCTTGCAGTGTTCCCCCCCAGCCACGTCCCTCCCACCTCCCCGGTGCCAGGCTTGCCCTCAGGGTCTGGGGCTGCAAAGAGAATAGACAAGGCATCTCTGATCCCAGGCCACCGACATTTACAGGATCGCAGACCTAAGCTGCTGCCTTGAGGGGTGGGGCAGTGGGGAAAGGAGATCTGGGTCTGCTGGGTAACGGTGGAACTGTCAGTGCCATCCTCCAGAAAGAAGGCCACAGAAGCTGTTCTCTTCTCAGCTACCCCAGAGCTGAGCTGGACCACCGGCTGCGTGCAAGGAGCAACGGGGGCCTGGGACCTGCTCAGCCCACAGTCCCAGCTCCCAGGGTCTCCCGAGCAGCTGCAAGGTTGCATCCCTCTGAGTCCTTTAGTGTCCACTGGCGCTTTGAAGGGCCACCTACCTGGAGGGCTTCTGCCTCCAGCCAGGGGTCTTAGGGCCTCAGCAGCACTGCCGTGGAGCTTGGCAAATCAAGAGGCTGCCCAGCAGCTGGACAGGCAGGTCCTGAACTGGCCTCTCCTGCAAGAAGGCTGGTCCCATCTGGGTGGACAGGGTCATGGCGTGTCATCCAACATGCCAGCAAGCAGGCTGTGTGGTCCTTATGTACCTGTCTTTGTGCCAGGGCCTACTAGGCACCTGGGCCCACAGCAGTGAACCAGCCTTGGACTTTTTCCTCCTACGAGGAACTACCTGTGCCCCACCCAGACTGATCGGGGCCTTGCAGGAATGACCAAGAGGTTCAGGAAGCTGCCCTTTCCTGCTTTGGGGAGCCCAGGTCCCTGCATGCGACATCTGCGTGGGTGGGACAGTCCTCAGGAGGCCAGGGGACCTACCTAGGTAGGTCGCTGTGGCATTGGACTGGTTTCCTAACCTTTGGGCCTAAATTTCCTTGGCTAGTGTGGAGACAGAGGTTCATTCAGGGAGATAGGATGAACCAGGGAGTAGTAGCGAGTAGTAGCTATCCACCCAGCAGGTGGATTGTCATGAAGTGGTTGTTTGATGGATGGCAGAGAGGCTGCTCATTTGAGACCCCTGGAGGCAGAAGGGGCTGCACAAGCTTTTGGATCCCTCCCACCCTCTGCTTTGGGCTTGATGGTTGTCCCTGGGGAGCAGCCCACCTTCCAAGGTTGGGGCAGAGAGGAAGCACGGATTCTACGACCTAAGAAACTCTTGTTTTCTATAAAATTCGCAGTGCAACAGGATAAATTCTCTGACCTGGGCTGGGAAATCCTAATAGTCAAGCTTCAGGACTAAAGCCTGTTTCGCTGAGCCCTGCTGAGAGCAGGAGTCTGGGGGCAGGAAGAGAGGGTGGTGAGCGCTCTGGGTGCCACGTGGCCTTTGTTTCCCAGGTGCTTTCCTCATAGGCCAGCAGGCGGTGTGGCCTCTTGCTGGGTTTCCCTGGGTCCGTGTGGTTGGAGAGCACAAGGCCACCTGCTCCCTCCCTGAGGGGTCCTCCCAAAGGCCAGCATCCTCCTCCAGCCTGGCTTCCTACCCAACTCATGATCATCTCTCTTTCCATTTCTCTTTCCATCTTTAAAAAAAGAATTTTTATATTAAAAAATATTTTACAGTAAAATTTATGTTAAAAATTATCATATGGTGAAATCTATACTTTGTGAAAGCATAGGTTTATGTAACCACTACCACAGTTGGGGTGCAGAGCGGCCCCATCACCCCACAAGACTCCCTCCCCCACCCCTCCTGCGTGTTCTTCATCACTATAGTTTTGTCTTTTTGAGAATGTCACATGAGTGTAATCATACAACAGGTGACCTCTTGAGATTGGCTTCTGTCACTCAGCGTAATGCTTCTGAACTCAGTCATTACATTTGAAGTCAGTTTCTTGTAGACAGCATATAGTTGAGTCAGGGTGGTTGTTTTGTTTCTTGTTAAAATCTAACAGTGTCTTATGTGATATATTTAGTGGTATGTTTCAATTTATGTCTACTGTTTTATTATTGTTGGCTGTTACCTTTGTTTTTTTCTTCTGTTTCCCCTTTCTTGCCTTTTTTGGGGTCCCTTGACGTTTTTTAGTATTCCATTTTAATTTGTCTCTTGCGATTTGGACTATATCATTTTGAGGGCTTTTAATGGTTGTTCTGAGGCATTACATACTTAACTTTCACAATCACTTTAGCATCAGTATCTTTTTTTTTTTTTTGCGGGACGCGGGCCTCTCACTGGTGTGGACTCTCCCGTTGCGGAGCACAGGCTCCAGACGCGCAGGCTCAGCGGCCATGGCTCACGGGCCTAGCCGCTCTGCGGCATGTGGGATCTTCCCGGACCGGGGCACAACCCTGTGTCCCCTGCATCGGCAGGCGGACTCTCAACCACTGCGCCACCAGGGAAGCCCAAGCATCAGTATCTTATCAGTTGAATTGGAATGTAGAAACCTTACCACCTATAGATGCTTTGACTTCCCACTGTGTGTGATCCTTGTCTTACATATTCCATCTCCATACATCGATGACTCCAGCAGAATAATTTTTGCTTTCAACTGTCAAACATTTTAAAGAAAATCAAGAGGAAAAGAAACCTTGATATTTACCCAGATATTTGTCATTTCTGTTCTTCATTCTTGATGCTTCACCTTTCCTTCTGGTATTATTTTTCTTCTGTCTGGAAAACTTCCTTTAGCAATTCTTTGAGAAGAAGTCTACTGGCAACAAATTCTTTAGTTTTCCTTTATTTGAGAAAGTTTATTTCCCTTCATTTCTGAAGGATATTTTCACTGAATATAGGTAGAGTTCTGGATTAACAATTCTTTCCTTTTAGCAATCTTAAAATGTGCTCCTTCCGTCTGGCCTCCAAACTTTCTGATGAGAAATCCCCAGTCATTCAGATCATTGCTCCCTGATAGTTAATGTGTCTTTTTTCTTCTGGTGCCTGTTTTTTAGAAATTTTTTCCTTTGTTTTAATACTAAGTTCTTAGCAGTTTGATTCTTTTGTGGCTGGACATGGGTTTCCTTGGGTTTATCCTGTTTGGGTTTTGATGACCTTCTTGAATCTGTAGATTTATATCTTTCAGCAAATCTGGACATCTTCAGCCATTATTTCTTCAAGGTTTTGGGGGGTTTTTTTTCAGTATTTCATAGACTTTTTTTTTTTTTTTTTTTTTTTGCCACACCGCACAGCTTGTGGGATCTTCCCCAACCAGGGATTAAACCCAGGCCACCGCAGTGAAAGCCCAGAATGCTAACCACTAGGCCACCAGCGAAGTCCTCATAGAACCTTTGTTGTCATCTCACAGTTCCCTCGGGCTCTGTTAATTTTTCTTCTGTATATTTTCTCTCTGTGTTTAGATTGGATAAATTTTATTGATTTATCTTCATGTTTTCTCCATTCTGCTCTTGGATCTGTCCACTGAATTTTTTTTTTCAGTTATTGTATTTTTAGTTCCAAAATCGCCATTTGCTTCTTCTTTAGATCTTCTAGTTGCTGAGATTTTCTGTTTTTCCAGTTGTCTTGAGAGTGCTGTGATTATTTGTTGGGGCATTTTTGTCAGAGAATTCCAACCGGACATCTTGGCATTGGTGTCTGTTGATTGCCTTTTCCCGTGGGAGGTGAGATTTTCCTGGTCCTTGTATGCTTAGTAATTCCGGATTGCAGCCTGCACATTTTGAATATGATGTTAGGAGACTCTGGGTCTTGTTTAAATCTTATGGAGACTGTTGATAGTTTGCTTTAGCAGTAACCCATTGCTTCTGGCTGTGGTTCCAACCTGCTTTCTGTGGCCTGTGGTTCCAATGTCCGTTCAGATTTCAAAGCCTTTACAGTGCTCTTTGGATCTGTCGTGGGTGTGCCAGTCAGCAGTCTGTCTGGGATCTGGCAGGTGGCCTGTGAGTTTAGTTCTCAAAGTTTCAGGTGTGATAGTTCGGGTCAAATCCAAACACCTCCAGTTTGGTGCTGCGCCCGGGAGTTCATAAAAACCTTATGGTATTACTTTCTCAATCTATTCAGTACTTTCCTCTTCTCTGGGGCTCCCCCTTTCTGCCCTCCAGCCAGGAAGCTGGGGCTTTAGTTACTCTGCTCTGCTGTGTGCTCCCCTAACCACATGGAGGGCCTCCGCTGGGAGACAGAAAGAAAGGCAACAGTGTTTCCCAGTGTTTTGGGATCACAGCTCCATAGTGTGGCATGGAAGGTTCTCGTCCTTGAGTTTTGACTCTGCAGGTTCCAGTAACTGCTGCTGTCCCTGTTGCCACAGGATTGCTTGTGGGCCAGACCATGAGAGAAGGGAGAAAAGAGGAAAAAAACCACAGTGTTTTTGAGTCAAAACCAGAGGGTTCTTCCCGGAGTTCTGTCAGCACCTCGGTGATCTCTTGGGGGTCTCAGGCTTCACTGAGTTAGTGCTGGAGGGAAAAAAAAACATTCAGCTCATTGCTGGTTTGGTGATGCTTCAAAGTTTGGTCTCCTTCCCCAGTCTGCCTGTGGCTATTTACCTTGCAGAGGCCTCAAATAACTGCTCCGTACATTCTGTTAGGTTATACAGCCACATGTAGTGGGAGAGACAGATGGGAGTGTCTACTCCATCTCACCCATAACCGGAGCCCTTCTCTCCATCTTTAGGATGGTATTACCTTGGGGCCAGATTTCTAGGTGGGAAATCTGCAGTCAAGGTCAGTGGCCAAGGAGAAATGGACAGTAAGGCCGATGGGTGGCTTAGCCCAGAGGTGGTGTCTAACGGGAGCCAGGTTGGGGTGAGGGGTGGGCCTCTAGTCCAGGTCCCAGCCTCTACCCTTATCCCCTGACCGTTACTGGTAAAGCACCAGTCTCATCCTTGGCCAGGGAGGGCTTGGAGGCCCCGCCTATCCTGCTGGTTGCCTACTGCTATGGCCATGCCCCTGGGGCTTTCTGGGCCTCTAGAGGAGGAAGGTACCAGCATCCATCTGCTGAAGCAACTATAGGACTTTTAAAAAGTTGTTTTTGAAATTGGTATGTAGCCGTATCACAAGAAGTTTGGAAAATGAAGGGGCAAAAATGCCATCCCTAATCAATGTCACCAGCCTATATAGTAACCTCTGTTAGCATTTGACAGTGTTTTCTTTTTTTTTCAACTGTTAGGAAAGAGTCGATACACTGTGTGTGTGTGTGTGTGTGTATACACTCATAAAAGTTATAAAGCATAATAATAAAAAATTAACACATGTGTACCCATCCACCCCCTTAAATAGAACATTAACCATAACTTTCAAAGATGCCTTTCTGTCCCTTCCCAATCTGGTTCTTTTTTTATTATTATTACGACTTTTGGCTGCATTGGGTCTTTGTTGTTGCACGCGGGCTTTTTCTAGTTGTGGCGAGCGGGGGCTACCCTTCCTTGCAGTGCATGGGCTTCTCATTGTGATGGCTCCTCTTGTTGCAGAGCACAGGCTTTAGGCACACGGGGTCAGTAGTTGTGGCGAGCGGGCTCTAGAGCGCAGGCTCGGTAGTTGTGGCGAGCGGGCCCAGCCGCTCCGCGGCGTGTGGGATCTTCCCGGACCGGGGCTTGAACCCGTGTCCCCTGCATTGGCAGGCGGATTCTCAGCCACTACACCACCAGGGAACTCTTTTTTCAAATATAACTTTTTATATAGTTATAACCTCTGCTAACAGAGGTTACTATAGGCTGGTGAGGTAGATTAGGGATGGCATTTTTTTCCTTTATTTTCCAAACTTCTTGTGATGTGGCTACATAATAATTTCAAAAACAACTTTTTAAAAGTACTCGTTGGGTCAGCAGATCAATCTGAATCATCCAGTCTTGAGCCTGACTTTTGTGTCGCCCACACCTTGGCAGGGCTCAGGTGAGGGCACCCATGACTCAGGCCCTAGGGAGGCCTTTGGGGTCGTCCTGGCCCAGTGGTTGGTTCAGCAGATCAATCTGAATCATCCAGTCTTGAGCCTGACTTTTGTGTCGCCCACACCTTGGCAGGGCTCAGGTGAGGGCACCCATGACTCAGGCCCTAGGGAGGCCTTTGGGGTCGTCCTGGCCCAGCGCGGGGCTGCCCTCACTCCCCCACCGCCACCCCCCCAGGAGAAGGAGCGGCAGCGCCTGGAGAACCTGCGGCGGAAGGAGGAGGCCGAGCTGCTCCGCAGGCAGAAGGTGGAGGAGGACAAGCGGCGCCGGCTGGAGGAAGTGAAGCTGTAAGCGCCCGCCCCCGACCCCTCCGGCTCCCCCGGCCTGGCTGGGCCCCCGTGACCACCCTGTGCCCGCAGGAAGCGTGAGGAGCGCCTCCGCAAGGTGCTGCAGGCCCGGGAGCGGGTGGAGCAGATGAAGGAGGAGAAAAAGAAGCAGATGGAGCAGAAGTTTGCTCAGATCGACGAGAAGGCGGAGAAGGTGCGGCGGGCTTCGGGCTGTGCGCAGCGGCTTCCACGGGCTGTGCCCTGGCGGGGCCCGGGCCCGGCACACGGGGTGGCCCGAGGGCTAGGGCTGGACCCGTCGGGAAGTTATGGGTTTAACGCCCTGTATCCCTCTCCTGGCCGTCTGTGGGGCCTGTGCTGAGCCACGTGGAGGGTGGAAGGTCTGCCCGGGACCGAGCACAGCCCTGCGCTCCTGGCAGGACTGGCGCCCGGGTGCCCCCTCCCCAGGGCTGTGGGGAGCCAGCCGGGGCCCCAGGGACCTGGAGTATCTGCCCTGCCGCGTGCTGGACCCCACCCTGTACGGCTGAGCGGCGGGGGCTGCTCCATTGGGCGTCTGTGGGTGGGCTCCGCAGGCCAAGGAGGAGCGGCTGGCCGAGGAGAAGGCCAAGAAGAAGGCGGCGGCCAAGAAGATGGAGGAGGTGGAGGCGCGCAGGAGGCAGGAGGACGAGGCGCGGAGGCTCAGGTGGCTGCAACAGGTTCGTGCGCCGGGCTCGCGCGGCAGGAGGACGGCACTGCCTCCGTGCCCCTGGACCGCTGGGCACACCCCTCTCTGTCGGGTTGATCTTGGTGGGTCTTGCTGCCTTGAGCTCACAAGGAGGTTGAACAAAGGCCATGGAGGTGGGGACGGGGACGGTGACCCGCCTTGTGTTTTCTGTAGAGGCAGCAGTTTGAGGGTTAAGTGCGTGGACTCTGGAGCCAGACTTCCAGTCTCAGTTCTGCCATCTATTAGCTGTGTGACCTGGGTGGGTTATTTGACCTCGCTGTGCTTTGGTTCCTTCAGGTAGCATTGATATCTACTCGATGGGGTTGTGGCAGGGATTAAACGTTCTGCCTCTAAGATTACGGGCCCACCTCTTCCTGGGAACTGTCGGTCTCATGACTCTAGGGAACACAAATCTGGCATTAGGGGGTTATAAGACTAATGGCTAAATTTTATGGAGTATTTACATTGTGCCAGGCACTGTTCTAAGTGTGTCATGTGTATAAACTCAGCAGTCGTAGGAGGCATGGGCGTGACTGTTGTCCCCATTTTATCAATGAGGGTAAAACCGAGGCCAGAAGGCTTCTGTGACTCGTCTCGTGTCACCCAGCTCATGAGTTTGGCTCCGTCTAGTCTGTACCCTTAACTACTAAATCTGCTGCTTCAGCAAAAGAAGTTGTCGCAAGACGCTCCTCAAGCCGGTTGCAGTGGTCCTTGTGGATGGAGCCTCGTACGGGGTGTCCCTGGGCTCAGCCCCTGCTGTTCCTTTTTTAAATTTATTTATTTCTTTAAATTTTTGGCTGCATTGGGTCTTCTTGCTGTGCGGGCTTTCTCTAGTTGCAGCGAGCGGGGGCTACTCTTTGTTGTGGTGCACGGGCTTCTCATTGCGGTGGCTTCTCTTGTTGCAGAGCACGGGGTCTAGGTGCACGGGCTTCAGTAGTTGTGGCACACGGGCTCAGTAGTTGTGGCTCGCGGGCTCTAGAGCGCAGGCTCAGTAGTTGTGGCGCACGGGCTTAGTTGCTCCGCGGCATGTGGGATCTTCCCGGACCAGGGCTCGAACCTGTGTCCCCTGCATTGGCAGACGGATTCTCAACCACTGTGCCACCAGGGAAGTCGGCCCCCGCTGTTCTTGACGCGAGAGGAGCTGCTGGGAAGAACAGGCCCTCCGGCCAGCCGCTCCTCCCCCCACCCCCCATTCCTCCCTCCCAGACCCGCTCTTGCCTCTCCAGCCCGGGCTGGCCTGCGGACCCTGACCTTGCTCTCTGGTCACAGGAGGAGGAGGAGAGGCGCCACCAGGAGCTGCTGCAGAGGAGGAGGGAGGAAGAGCAGGAGCGGCTGCGGAAGGCGGCCGAGGCCAAGAGGCTGGCGGAGCAGCGCGAGCTGGAGCGGCTCCAGGCCGAGAGGTGAGGCGTCGCGGAGGCGCGGCGCCCAGGTGACTTTGTGGCGCCTCGCCGTCACATCAGCCGTCCTCCTGTGCACGTGTGTGGCTGACACACAGATGTAGCCGTCACCCAGAGGCAGCTCCCGCCTTCACTCGGGAGTTTGGAAATGAAGGACAGGCTTTCTTCCTGGCTCCAGACAAGGCGAACCCCCCAGATGTGGTGTGTTGGCTGCTGGAGATTCAAGGAGTAACGGGCAGGGTCACTCGGGATTGTGTCTCTGTTCTGCTTCCAACCGGATGAGCTGAGTCCTTTGGTTCGTTCTTTTCTCAGCTGACATAAGGGGGTGGGTGGGCCGCAGGACGAGCCAGCATTTCTCAGCAGCCACTAAGGGCCTTTGGGTGGCAGAGTCAGGCCACCACGTGCTGTGATTCATTGCAGGGCCTTCGGCATCCCTGGCTCGTGCCCACCGCGTGTGCTCCTCTGGGGCTGGTGATGACTCAGGCTACCCCCCACCAACATTTCCCGACTGTCCCGCCTCCCCCCGACTGGGGACCATGGCAGATGAGCCCTCGCAGAGGCAGTGGTCTCTGCGATAGGCAAGAATTCCACGTTTAGTTCCACAAGCGTTTATCCAAGGCCAGTCCCTGTGCCGGGTTGTGCTGGGTCCTGGGGATGCCGAGTAGGATAAGCCTCCGTCACCACTGGCCAGGAGATATGTGGGATCCTATGCCTGGGTGCAGACGCAGACTGCCCGTGTGTGTGTAGACTCTCGGGAGGGCCCAGGCCCAGGCCTGGCCTCTCTCCTGCTTCCACCCTGCTTCCACCCCCAGGCAGCACTTTTTTCCGTGTCCGTCTTTGTGGGTGGCTACAGGCCCAGTGGAGAAGGAGGTGGGTCACAACCAGAGGGCTGACTGCGTCAGGGCCATCGTGTTGTTTGGCACAAAGGGGTCCCTGGTCCTGTGGGCAGGATCAGAGACAGGAGTCTGGGAGGGGGACAGAGGGCGGCAGCTGATGTGGCTTTAGAATTGGATGTGTGTCGGGCAGCGCCAGGGGCTTCAGGGGGTGGCGACGGTCATAACGTTTGGCAGCTTGGGCGGGTACCAAGCCACACGCTTTCCACACATTTCCTTGTTTAATCCTCACCTGAAGACACCTGCAGCGTGGGTACCAGCTGCTCCACTTCCCGGAGGGGGACACAGGTCCAGAGAGGTTCCATGACTTGTTCAGTGTCATGAGAGAGTAAGTGCAGGTGGCTCTGAGCCCATGAACGGCCCCTCCCTGCTTCGTGTCAGGCCTGGGGCCGGGTGTTGGCCTGTGGGTCAGGACGAGTGGCCGTAGCTCAGATGACCTCATTTTGTTCTCGTGGTAGCTCTGGAGGAAAGGTGTTATGCTCCCCATTGTACAGCAGACAAGACTGAGGCACGGAGGTCTAAATGGTGTGGAGGCGCGGGGCCCAGTTTGGTGGGCCTCGGGGCTGAGTGCTCCCGGACCCTCGGCTGAGCGCTCCTAGCCCCTTGGGCGCGAGCACAGCTGCTGGCTCTTAGCTGGCGTGCCCGTCCTGCCATTCCCTCTTCTGCGGCATGTGCCAGGGCCCTGGCTTCCCTGGCAAGGGTGGAACGGGGCCGGGCCTCAGCTTCCTACCCTGACAGGCTCTTGCTCGGTCCTCAGGGAGCAGCAGGAGAGGGAGAAGGCCCTGCGGCTCCAGAAGGAGCGGCTGCAGAGGGAGCTGGAGGAGACGAAGAAAAAGGTAAAGGGGAGCCAGGCCTGTGGCTCCCACGGGGTCTGCCCTGAGCTTCGGGCTGGGAGGCCTGGTCCAGGGGCCCTGGTGCAGGAGCCGCCCTGCCTGCCTCGCTGCGCGGCGTTGGTGGGGGGGGAGGGGAGAACGCACACGTGGTCTGTGACATCCCGCCGTCCGCCGGGTCCCAGGAAGAACAGCAGCGCCTGGCTGAGCAGCGGCTGCAGGAGGAGCAGGAGAAGAAAGCCAGGGAGGCCGCAGCGGCCAGCAAAAGCCTGAACGTGACCGTGGACGTGCAGGTGAGGCCCGGGCATCAAGGTGGAGAGAGCCCCCTCGCTCTCATTATTCTCTTCCCGGTAGCCGGAGGCACAGGCTGTATGTATTAGGACCATAAGAAAGTGGAAGGATACAGTTCGCCCAGTTGTTTTTTTACTACTTTTGAAATATATCTTCTTCCTTATTCTGAAAGTAGAATTTGTTGTAAAAAAAAAAAAAAGAAGAAAAGAAAAGAAACTAAACTTTATAAAAGAATATAAAGAAAAGGAAAGGTACCCCCAGAGGGAAAGTCTAAGTCTGCTGTATATCTTTCTATATTTTACGTATAAATACATTTTATACACACACTTTCTCTCACACACACATATACATAGTTTTAAATGGGCACAGACTATCCATACTGTCTTAGTCTGTTCGTGCTGCTACAACAAATTACCCTAGACTGGGTGGCTTAAACGACAGACATGCTGGGAAGTCCAGGGTCAAGGCGCTGGCAGATCCAGTGTCTGATGAGAGCCCTCCTCTGGTTCACAGACGGCCGTCTTCTCGCTGTGTCCTCACATGGCCAAAGGGGAGAGGGAGCTCTCTTTCCTAAGGGAACTAATCCCATTTTTGAGGGCTCTACCCTCATGACCTGAGTGCCTCCCGAAGGCCCCACCTCCAAATACCATCACATCGTGGGTTAGGATTTAACATGGGAATTTGGGGGGGAATACAGACGTTTAGTCCACAGCACATACCATTTGGCAGTTTGATTTTTTTCTCCTTTTTTTCCTTTCATTTAATGTATCCTAGACATCTGTCTGTTTCACCGCTTGTAAATCTCTTACTTTTGACCGCTGTGTTCCAGTTAGTGGTACCAGAAGGTCTTTAACCAGTCCCTAATGATTAGGCTATTAATGCTGTTACAAACAAAATGTAATATAAGGTTTTCATTGCAACACCGTTTAAGATGTTGAAAACTTGGAAGTTAGCTGAACCAAATCGTGGGGTTCCCAGTGAAGTGCCCTGCTGCGGGTCACAGGACACACACTGACACACTAACCTAGAAGGATGTTTACAACATACTTTCACATGAAAAAGGAAAACATGGAGTCATGTATACGGTGTGATTTTTTTTTTTTTTTTTTTTTAAATTAAAAAGCGACCCCTGAGCCTTTTTCTTTTTTCCCGTGAAATGAGGGGAGGTGGCCAGAGCCCCACGCTCCTCAGCGGCGGGAGGTGCCGGCCCACAGGGCAGGCAGCTGAAGCCCTTGTTCATTTTTCCAGTCTCCAGCTTGTACCTCGTATCAAATGACTCCACAGGGACACAGGGCGCCCCCCAAGATCAACCCGGATAACTACGGGATGGATCTGAACAGCGACGACTCCACCGATGACGAGGCCCATCCCCGGAAACCCATCCCCAACTGGGCCAGAGGTGAGCAGGGCCCGGAGCTCCCGAGGAGAGCCGGGTCCCCACTTGTGACTTCGAGCCCTGGAGGGTGTGGCTCAGCGGCTGTGGGGGTCAGGAGCCCATTTGTACCCATGGGCTGGCAGCTTGAGTCGTTGGCCGACAAGTCTGCATTGGGCCTCGGGATGCGGCTGGGGAAGGGTTGGTGCCCTGTGGCCAGCGGACTCATCTGAGGACCAGACCTGCAACGTTGGGCGCATCCATTCTCAACAGAGACATTAGATTTCAGCTGGCTGCTGGCAGGCGTGGTGCTGGGTGTTCCACCTCAGACTCTATCTGGCTGCCCCTTTGGAGTCCCACCCAGCAGGCCACAGGGACCCAAATATGCTGCCTGGGGGTGGGAATAGAGCTAAGAGTAGCGGGGTTTCAGCAGCGCACAGAGCTGGAGCAAGGGGTTCCAGCCAGCTAGGGGAGGAGTTGGAGATGGGGCTGGAGGTACTTGAGGCTCAGCAGGATGGGACACTGAGTTTACAGGCCTCTAAACAGGAGTGTGGGTAAGTGTGAAGGTGCCACCTCAGGCCTGGGTGCAAGGCCTGCGGGGAGTGAGCAGGGCCAGTGCATGCAGCAGCTGCCTTACAGAGTTGGCCGAGCTGGGGTCGGGGCGGGCTGCAGTCTCACTCCCCGGAGGAAGGGCCAGAACCCTGGAGGGGATCAGTGCTGTACAGAAGAGAGCTTGCTTTGTGAGTTTCACCTCATCTGAACCCCACAGTGACTGGAATCTGACTTCGTCTCCTTAACATCCAGTCATTCCGGAGGTGGCAGCGGTCAGGGGTCAGCGTGGCCAGGGAGCCCTTGACCTTTACCAGCCTACTTAAACTCTCACTCAAGTTTTCCCATCTGTGGAATGGGGGTGCTTAGAGCACCCAGCTGAGAAGGGCTATCGAGGATGAAGTGAGTTAGCATAGGAAGGCCTGGTGCAGGGCAAGTACCGGGCACACGTTCTGCTTCCCGACCCCCAGGGGTCCTCCTCAGCCTCGCTGGCCGGGCTCTGAGCCACCGGCAGTGTCAGCCTACACCAGGCATCGTGGGGCTGTGGTGCTGATGAGATGAGTAGCCAACCAAGGCAGTCAAGGATGGCATCAGATGCTTTGGTTCTGGAGCTGGACTTGTCTTCAAATCCCGGCTCTGCCAGTCTCTAGCTGTGTGCCTCTGGGCAGATCTCACCCTTGTAAACCGGGGTGGGTAGAGGGCCTGCCTCTGAGGTGGCTGTGGGGATGAGGGGGTCATGCAGTGACCTCAGCCGAGCATCTGGCTCACGAGAGTCGCTGGAGAGCAGCGCGCAGTGAGAGGTTATCAGTGTTTGGTGGCGGGGGGGGGGGGGGGGGCGATAAATATCTGAGGCATTTAAGATTGGCTCCCTGAAGCAATGTGTGGCCTGTGTGGAGGCTGGGGGTGGCGGTGTGGGAGGGCGCTGCAGGTGTTAGGGTGGGTGAGAGGGGATGGGGGCTGGCCTGGTTTGGGGGGGGGGGGGGGGGCGGCTGGAGGAGGGCCCTGAGAGGAGCTGATTTGACAGGAGGTGAAGGAATGCTGAGGTGGAGAGGGCGCCGAGGGCTCTTTGTGGGGGGCAGGGGGAGCCCCAGGGCAGTGACCTAGCCCTTGGTGTCCTCCTGCAGGCACCCAGCTTAGCCAGGCCATCATCCACCAGTACTACCACCCCCCGAACCTTCTGGAGCTCTTCGGAACCATTCTGCCACTGGACTTGGAGGACATCTTCAAGAAGAGCAAGCCCCGCTACCATAAGCGCACCAGCTCCGCCGTGTGGAACTCGCCGCCCCTGCAGGGCACCAGGGTCCCTGGCAGCCTGGCCTACAGCCTGAACAAGCACTGAGCCAGGCCCTCGGGCCTGCTCGGCGGTCTCAGCCTTCGTCTGTGTCTATATGTCTGTATCTCTGTTGGTCTGGTGCCATCCTGCCTGGTGTCCTGTCGCTGAGGGTTCAGTCAAGTGTATATAAACGTCCTCTGTGGGCTACAGGGGGAAAGCGGCTCGGGCCTGTTGGGAGGCTGAGCTTGATGGGTGTTCGGGGAAGACCCAGGGCCAGCCTTGCCTGGTCTGCTGACAGCACTCTGTAAATAGATTGTTAGAGTTCAACTGAATTTTAGCCTCTAGTGTTTGAGAGCTAGATTAATAAAGTCTGTTCCTTCATGCCTGCTGTGAGTATCATGAAGACTGCGCTTCTCTGCAGAAAGCCCCAGACCCTGGCCCTGTCTCGGGCTGCTGGATGGGCTGGAGGAATAGGACCTGCTTCTTCTCCTGGGATGTGCGTCAAGGCCACCTGGGTCCCACCCCCAGAGATGCCGATGGAGTGTGTGATTCTGATGCCACCCTGGACAGCCCTGAGAAACACTCAGTTACTTTCATGTTGGGGCAGGTGACGGTACTTCCTGTTTTTCTGGGGAGCGCCCTGCCTGTAGAGGGGGGCTCATTCAGTGGGTAAGACCTGGAGTTGAGCTCAGGGGAACTGGGCTCTTGACACAGCTCTGCCGCTTAAGAGAGGCCCTCAGCCCCTCCACGCCTCAGGCTCCACCCACCCTTGCTGCACGGATGGTGAAAGGACTTGAGAACGTGGACGTGCTGCTGAAGCAGGAGATCTGGGTTAGGAAGGGGCCGTCTCTTGAAACTACCTCGGGACCAGTAGGTGCAAGTAATTGAGATGTTTCTCCAACAAATCCAGGCAGCTGCTAATTAAATGCTTAGTGTCCTTGGAAGCTGGCCCTGCCCCGTCGCTACCAACCATGTTCTAAATATGCCACAGCTTCATCATCTCCTACTCCAGCCCCTGGAATGGGGGTTGGTGAATTTGGGCCTATGGGCCAAATCACGTTGCAGTCCATTTTTGTAACGTTTCATTGGAACCCGCCCAGTAGAAATGAATGCCTGTTGTCTCCGGCTACTCTGCTGTGGACAAAGTTAAGCAGTTACAACAGAGGACTTATGGTTCGCAAAGCTGAGAATATTTACTGTGAACCTTTACAGAAGATGTTTGCTGACGCTGCCTTAGGACAAAATCAAGGCTGAATATAAGAGAGCTTTTTAAAATGAGTAAAGAGTGAATGCACACAACAGAATGAAATCTAGAAGATTCCACCACGCAAAGAAAAACATGTTACAGTTCATTCAAATACGGTGTGAATTTAAATTTGTTCCATATGGTCTCTGATGAGAAACTGTTGTGTTGAGTCAACTGGTGAGTGTGTCTTTGCCTGAAACCACAATGTCAAAATATTACCTCTTATAAAAGCATATTTACGTAGTGTGTTTGAGAAAAAAATTTGTTATTCAGCAAAAAGGTAGTTACAGGTTGCACTGCATCTTCACTAGTACTTGATATTGTCAGTGCTTCTTAATTTAGCCATTCTAATAGACGCGTAGTGAATTCTCATCGTGGTTTTAATTTGCATTTCCGTAATAGCTGGTGATGGTGAATATCTGCTCACGTGCTTACTTGCCATCTGTGTATCTTCTTTGGCAAAGTGTTTGTTCAACTCATTTGTTCTTTTTTTTTTTTTTTTTTGGTTCCTTTTTTATTGGGCCACGATTTCTTTCTTCATGTGCCTTGTGGGTTTTGTTTTGTTTTGTTTTTTGCCATGCCACATGGCATGTGAGATTTTAGTTCCCCAACCAGGGGACCAGGTTTCAAACCCATGTCCCGCTGCAGTGGAAGCATGGAGTCTTAACCACTGGGTCACCAGGGAAGTCCCTCATTTGTTCATTTTTAAATTGAGTTGTTAGTTTTCTTACTGTTGTGTTTAGAATCTCTACGTATTATGGGTACAAATCTGATGTCAGATACATGCTTTGCAGTATTTCCTCCTAGTCTGCAACTTGTCTTTTCATTCACTTAACAGTATTTTTCATAGAGCAAAAATTTTAATTTTGATGAAATCCAATTTATCAACTTTTTTTCCTTTTTATGGATTGTGCTTTTTTGGCTTTATGTCTAAGAAATCTTTGTCTAGTCCCAGTTCTCAAAGATTTTCTCCTATATTTTCTTCTAAATAGTTTATAGATTTATATATTACATTTAGGCTTATGATCTGTTTTGAGTTAATTTTTTTTTAATGTGAGGTTTATGTTTTTTGTTTTGGGGAGCATATAGATGGATGTCCAGTTGTTCTAGAACCATTTGTTTAAAAGACTATTTTTTTCACTGAATTTCTTTTGTATCTTTGTCAAGATCAATCAGCCATATTTGTATGGGTCTATTTCCAGACTTTGTATTCTCTTTCGTTGATCTATGGGTCTGTCCTTTTACCAATACCACATGGTCAGGATTACTGTAGCTTGTATAAGTCTTAAAAATCTGGTAGTGTGATTTCTCCATCTTTATTCTTTGCAAAATTATTTTGGCTTTTCTATCAATTTTGCCTTTATAAATTTTAGAATCAGCTTATCTATACAAAAACACTGCTGGGATTTTGATTGAAATTACATTAAATCTATATATCATAAGTTTGGGGAGAATTCACATGTTTATGCTAGTGAGTCTACTAAGCCATGAACATGATATATCTCTTCATTTATTTACATCTTTGGTTTCTTTTATCAGCATTTTGTAGTTTCAGCATGCAGATCCTGTATAAGTTTTGTTAGATTTAAAGCTAAGTATTTATTTTCTTGGAGCTGTTATAAATGGTATTGTCTTTCTAATTTTGGTTTCTACTTGTTCATTGCTGGTATATAGAAATGCACTTTCTATACTTTGATGTATTGACCTTGTATCTTGTGATGCAACTAAAGCAGTACTTAGAGGGAAATTTATAGCACTAAAATGCCTATGTTAGAAAAACAGTGTCAAATCAATGACCCTAGCTTCCGCTTTAAGAAACTAGAAAAAGAAGAGCAAACAAAAATATAAGCAGAATAAGGGAAATAACAAAGGTAGAGCAGAAGTCAGTGACATTGGAAAGAGAAAAATGATAGAGAAAATTTTATTAAACCAAAAGCTGGTTCTTTAAGAAGCTCAAAAAAAAAAAAAAAAAAAAAGTAAACCTCTGTTGAGACTGGTAAGGAGAAAAAGAGTAAACAAATGACCTATGTCAGGAATGAGAGGAAACACCACTACAGATTCTACAGATACTAAAACTAAAAGAGAATATTATGAACAACTTATGGTAATTTGACAGTTTAGATGACATGGACACAAATTCCTTGGAAGATAAAAATTATCTCAGTTCACTCAAGAAAAAATATAAAATCTAGGGTCTTCCCTGGTGGCGCAGTGGTTGAGAGTCCGCCTGCTGATGCAGGGGACACGGGTTCGTGACCCGGTCCGGGAAGATCCCACATGCCGCAGAGCACCTGGGCCCGTGAGCCATGGCCTCTGGGCCTGCGCGTCCGGAGCCTGTGCTCCTCAACGGGAGAGGCCACAACAGTGAGAGGCCTGCGTACCACAAAAAAAAAATAAAATAATAAAATAAAATCTAAACAGCCCTATCTATGACAGAAGTTTAATTTGTAGTTTAAAATCTCCCAAAAAGGGTCTTCTCTGGTGGTACAGTGGTTAAGAATCCACCTGCCAACTCAGGGGACATGGGTTTGATCCCCGGTCCAGGAAGATCCCACATGCCGTGGAGCAACTAAGCCCGTGCGCCACAACTACTGAGCCCATGTGCCACAACTGCTGAGCCCGTGCACCACAACTACTGAAGCCCGTGTGCCTAGAGCCCGTGCTCTGCAACAAGAGACACCACCGCAATGAGGAGCCCTCGCACCGCAACGAAGAGTAGACCCCGCTCGCCGCAACTAGAGAAGGCCCGCGCACAGCAACAAAGACCCAACGCAGACAAAAATAAATAAATTTTTAAAATAAATAAATAAAATTTCACAAAGATCCCTCTAGGCTTAGATCACTTTAGCGGTAAATGTTCAAGGAAGAACTAACACCAATTCTACACAACCTCTCCCAAGAAATCAAAGAGGAAAAAATATTTTCCTGCTCCATCTATGGGGCCAACATTGCTCTGATCCCCAAACCAGACAAAAGATGTTGCGAGAAGGGAAAGCTAGAAGATTACCTGCCATGAACATCAAGGTTCTTTGAGTTTTAGCAAATGAAATTCAACAAATGACTCATATAAAGAGCATAATATATCTTAACCAAATAGGGTTTATCCCAGCATTGCAAAGTAGGTTTAACATTTGAAAGTCAATTAATGTAATTCACCGTATTAATACAGGGGGAAAATCATGTGATTAAATTGATAGATACAGAAAGTGAGCTGGACAGTTTAACACTGATTCATGATAAAAGCTTTAAGCAAGTAAGAGTTTTAAGGGAATTTCCCCAGTTTGAAAAAGCCCTTCTACCAAAAAATCTTCAGCAAGTATGGTGAATGTCTGGATGCATTCCTCCTACTAACAGGTCCAATGCAAGGATGTCCACTGTCATTACTTCTGAACATTTTACGGGAGGTTCTAGCCAGTGCAAGAGGGTAGTAAAGAAAATTACGAGAAAGAAGGAATTAAAATTATTCAGAGATGACTTGTAGAAAATCTGACAGTGTCTACAAAAGGATTAATAAATGAGTTTAGCATGGATGCAGGGTACAAGATTAATATATGAAAACCGATTGTATTTCTATACACCTACCTTGCACAATCAGAAGTTGAAATTAAAAAACAATGCAATGGATAATGTCCAAAATTATCAAAATCTTAGTAAATTTGACAAAAGATGTGAAAGACCTGTATAGTTAAAAAAAAAAAAAAAATTACTGAGAGAAACTAATGAAGACCTAAAAGGGATATGTATAAGACAATGTTCATGAATTGGAAACTCAGTGTTCTTAAGATGTCAATAAGAACAAATTTGAGGGGGCTACACTGCA